TGCATCACATGTTGATATGGTGTATGAACAGGCACCAATAACTGAGGAGTTGGTGTTTAGAGCATGTATGATACCTATACTTCTCTGTGGAGGATTCAGAATATACACTGCAATCTTTTCGTGCCCTGTATTCTTTAGCTTGGGTAAGTTGACACTCACTGGCAATACCTTATTAGCATTTTCTAGACCAACGCAGGAATATGTTTGTGAGGCAACTGAATTAGTTTCCTTCATCTGAAACCTGATTCCTAGTTTTCTTACAATCAGAATAGTTTAATGTTGGTCTGAAGCAAGCATTTGTTTTCATTATGAGCCATCTGTAGGCATAATTTGTTCCCTTCGTTAGTATTTTAACACTTGACTTTTGTTGGTGCCGATTTGCCTTATGTATCATGTTTCTTAGATTTTAGTGCTTATCTCCTATACCTTTCTCTTAATTACCACAATTCTTAAAGGAAATGGTAATCATGGTTCTGAAGGAAGTTCATCTTATGCTAAATACTATCATTTTTTATTCCGACAGGAAATATTTACTTTTCGTGACAGTAGCACCCATTTAATAAGAGTTATTGCATTTACTACTTTTCAACTATGCATTTTGTAATTGGGAAAGAAGATTATAGTCTTACGATGTATTTTCTCTTTCTCAGCACATTTAAACCATTTTATGGAGGTGTATACCCGGCAAAACTTTAGCTTGTTGAAGGCCACACTTGTTGTTGGTATGGGCTCTTTTTTACCATATGTGCTAAAAGTATGCAACTGTTGTAACTCTAAAAGATTGCCAACTATAATTACATTACTACTTATTTGTCATGTTCACTTTTTAATTTTTCTTTTCTCTTTTTACTAGCTTTGTTATTGACAATTATTGGGTATTTGTCTTGAAAGGAAATTTGTACATATTCCAGATACACATTTTTGTTCTTAAGCAAGTTGTACTATGTATGTTTGTCAGGTCTCCAGCTTGGCTACACTATCGTTTTTGGTTGGTATGCTTCGTTTCTCTTTATTCGTACAGGTCAGTGATTGATTCTGATAGGTTTTCTGATGACTAGATTACTCTTTTCCATATTATTTGTGATCCATTATTTTCAAAGACAAAAAAAGAAAAGTATCTGTGATCCCCTATTTGATGCCAAGATGACTTTGAGATTCGCATGCATATTTTAGGTTCTCACACTCAGTTCTATGTAAATGTGGTAAACTTTTGGATCACATGAGATTATAGTTTGTTCTGTTGGAGACAAAGTTATAGTTAGTTAACTATGCAGTTTATCTTAACTTATTACAAACTCCATCAAGAATTCAGGAGATCGTATAAGCTGTCAAACCAATTTATGAGTTGAAAGTTTAAATCATCAATGCTTATGTGCGAACAAATGTCCAATAAATTATACATGGGACTCTAACTATAGGACCTTTAAGTGCTAAATACATTACTAGATATGA